CACAGTTGGAATGGCACAGGATGAATTACTTTCGGATTGTCTGCTTTTGCTTAGTAGTATCTATTTCAGTTTCTTCCTTGTCTTTTTTGAGAGCTCTTCTTTGTAGTGCTGCATCAATGTCTTAGAATTGATTTAGTCACTTACCTCCTGAAGGGCATCTTGTTTATTTCCAAGCTTTGGTAGTTACAAGCAAAGCCACTATAAAAATCACTGCAGCTTTGTGTGCAATAAACATTTTTCTTTTTGTCAAGTTTTAAGTTTTTTTTTAATATCTTGGAGAACAATGCTTTATTGTGTATACCTTTGCATATTTTCTTTTCTACTCTGTGGTTTGTCTTGCTATTATCTTCATAAAGGATTTTTTAAAAATGTTCAGGTAGAGTAAAAAGTGACTTTTTATAAAACAGTTGGTTACCATTGGTTATAGCATTTCGATTTATTTAAAACTAATTTTTACTTCACTTGGTACTTAATGGTACTGAGCACTTCTTTCTGAGAAGAATCAACTCCTATCAAAATTTTTGAATCAGTGCTTACTACAAAAGACAGTAAACATCTCGTATCTTCTTTTCTAGAGCTTAAAGCAGAGAAACTTTGGATGTTCAAATATGTGGAGTTTTCATTAGAAATTAATGTGTCTGTATATGTGTGTGGGGGGGGGTGCATGTAACTGTGAGTGTGTGTGGGAGGTGGCAGTTAAAGGGGAATTTAAGATGATGAACTTCCATCATCTAAGTGGATAAAATCACTCTGGGAAAAAATATAAGCAGAAAATCAAAGGCGGTCGGGGGCAGTTACAAGTTTTCCTGCAAGTTCATGGGTCTGGGCAAGAAGTGCTGGCGAAGGACACGAAGAAGTGACCAGGGAGTGTGAGGCAAGAGACCAAATGAAGGAGAAAATTTCTACAACGAGAGCATAATTGTGTTTCTGGCTTCTGAGAAAGGTAACAAGCAGAATTAAAATAGGGATTCAGCCTTAACAAGACATTGCCCCTTGGCAGCTTCTATAGTAACCTTTTGACTTAAGTACTCAGAAGGAATCCTGATAAGAATGAGCTGGGGAGTAAAGGACAGGTAAGGAAAATGGGGACAATGAATATACTGACTCCTTTGAGGACACTTCTGATAAGCAAAATGACAGGCTGAGAAACATGTGAGGTCAAAAGAGATATTATTTTTATATGCGTAGTACTGAGGCGTGTTTCATACTCAGAGAGTGATTCTCATTTGACTGCACCTGTGAACACTCTCAGCTAGTTACACCTCTGCGATTTCCCTGGCAGTGCTTGCTTGCTTTCTGCTTCAAATGGTGTCATCTTCTTGATCCTTTTTATCAATCATCAACTTCTTCTCCAGATGGCTGTCATGAATATGTGTGCATGTCACGGGAACCTTAAGGAATAATACAGTTCACAACAAATGCCATGTAGTGGTGGTCCTTGAGTAATATGCACACCATCACAATTCTATATACTGACCTAGAACACCAGGCTCAGAACACAATTTTTTGTGAAGGTCAAAAAATTAACCTTACATGTTTCTGGTGTAGGTCTAAGGCAAATAACAAAAGTATAGTGTATCAATTCTAAAGCTAAATCACAATTCCAATAATAAATTTGCAAAAGTAAAATTGATCTTTTAGATTCAATAACAAATGCTTGATTGTTCAGAAATGTATATATCCAACTAAAGATTATTGTTAAAAAAAAAAGCTTTAAAAGGAAGCTTTTCTTCCTCCTTTTAGCCTCCATTTTCAAAACAGCAAATGGAGAGAGAGGTAATATATGTCTATATTGAAAATCAGTTGTCAAGTCGGAGACAGAGCCTTGCAGATGATCAACATACGCTATCTTCTCGAAAATAAATCTAATCGGACTAAATGCAATGATGGAAAACAGAACTCCCCCTTTTCATGTTTATTTTTTTCCAAGACATTAATTTATTTAAAAGTCAGAGTTATATAGAGAGATGAGAGACAAAAAGAGGGGTGGAGGTGGGAAGAGAGAGAGATTGAGAGAGAGAGCAATTTGATGGCTCACACCTGCAATGTCCAGGCCTGGGCCAGACAAAAAGCAGGAGCCTAGAAATGCATCTGCGTTTCCAATGTGTGTGGCAGTGGTCCAAGTGCCATATTCTGCTGCTTTCTTAGTATTAGCAGGGGGATGGATTAGTTGTAAAGCAACCAGAACTTAAACTGACATCTACGTGGGATATCAGTCTCATGGGAAGAAGCTTAACAAGCCTGAACACAATGCTATTACCCATTTACCTTTTAATACCACCAAACTGAAAAACAAACCAAAAACATCGATCAACTCATGAATAAGCAGCACAAGCAACTGTTGATACGTCCTCATCGTTGAACATTCATACTGTTCATCCCAAAAATAAAATGAACAGTTGACACACTACAACATCTACGCATCTCAAAATAATTACTCTGAGTAAAAGACTCAGAGAAAATATGATCTCTGAGTTCCAGGAAGTGCACACAACAATGGCACAAAGCAGGTCAATGAGCTTGGAGAAGAGAGGAATATCAGGTAGGAATTATCAAGGGGCATAGGAATCTCTTAAGATAAGAACTATGTTCATTGTCTTGATTGTGGTCATGGTCTTATTGGTGTGTACATCTATCAAGGCTTACCAAACTGTATATGCTACATATGCACAGTTTTGTTGAATCTCAATTACTCTTCAATAAAACAAAGCCATAAAAATGTAAAGAAAAAAAATAGCTTCAAAGTCTGAAATTGATTAACATAGTCTTTTCTTTAATATTAAAAAGAGAAAGCAATGTAAAAATAAACATCTTGAAGAATAAAAATGAAAATGTCATTAGAATGTTGCAAGATTCATAAAACCAGATACGATTTTAAAAATGTGAACATGTCCTTTTACCTTCTGGTTGCCTTTAAAATTCTACCTTTAAACTAATCTGTTGATTCCTTACTTGCTTATGCTTATGCCAGGACACAAAAAGCAGAATTTGTTTATTATTACGAGTCCAGAAGTTCATAAATTGTGCATATGCAGAAAAACTTCAGTCCCATATTCATCTTTGGCAACATTTGTGCATAGTACCTTCTGATTTCGGTGGATGTGTGAACTAGCTTACTCTAATTCAAGTTCAGGCTGCATTTCCTGCCATAGGGGACATCATCCTACAATCACTGCATCTGCCTCATGAAACATAAACTCTAACTTAGAAGAACACAAGGCAGCAATGCCTGTCTACTCCTATCTATTTTGTTAAACTCTCTAACATATCTAAGTACCCTGGGGAGACATCATAGACTCTTGTTGACTACTACTGATAAACTTAATTAACTTACACATTTGACTTAATCCAGAATAATCACAAGAAAATCAACATGTTACATACTTTGAGATCACCGGGTAGACATGTCACGTGTGATCTACCATCCTCAAGGATTTAAAATGCTCCTAAGCAAACATACTTTATAAATTGAGACCTAGCAGCCAAGGGAGTGGTTAAGGTCTGGATTTACTGCTGAACTTTGGCACAACACTCTCAACTGATTGGTGGTGTTCTGGGAATAGTTAGCTGGGTGGGGATGAGCATGCCTCATCAGAATAATTTAGCATTATTAGCATGACATTTGGTATTAACAACGGTAATCGGAGATCATGATTTTTTTTTTTACTCAAATCACACGTTTTAAAGCCTAGCAGTAATACAAATTAACCCAAGAAATTAGCTAAAAACGGAAACACACAAATGACTAGTTAAATGTTACTGTTGATTAGCAAATGAGATATTAAGAAAAACAACCTTGACCTAAATAATCACGTCAGTAAAATAGGTTTTTCTTGACTCTTTCTGTCCTTTTGGAAGCCTCAGTAAACTGAGAAACGAGAATTATGATGTATAAATGCTCTTACAAAGTTCATGGAAAATATGTATTATGAAAAAAACTGCATTTCAACATTATTTGTACTAGAATAACTAATTCTATTTACACAAGTCTTTTAAAGTAACACCACATATTCTCTAACACAATGTTTAAAATTTCTCCAGACCATGAATTTGATCAGCTGCTATTATATAAATATAGAAAAAGATTTTTTTTAAGATTTGTTTGTATTTGAAAAGCACAGTTACCAAGAGAGAAAGAGAGACAGAGAAAGAAATCATCCATACTCTGGTTCACTCCCAAAATGGTCACAATGGCCAGAACTGAGCTCATCCACAAACAGGAGCCAAGTGCTTATTTCACGTGGAGCAAGGTTCAAGAACTTGAAACATTTTCTGTTGCTTTCCCAGGCTGAGTAAGAAGTGGAGCAGCAGGGACTTGAACCAGCGCCTATATGGGATTCTAGCACTGCATGTGGAGGCTTAGCTTGCTATGGCATGATTCTGCCCCTATATGTAGGAAACTTTAAAATTCTATAGTAAATTGAATTCTATTAAAGAAAAAACTGATCAGTAATTTTAATTGCTTTGTCATCATCCTAAATGAGAGCCCCAGAATATCTAAAATATAGTACAAATAAAAATCAAAATAAGTTAACTTTTTGTATTAAATTCTTACATGCATCCTATGAGACGAATTGCTGTCAGTGAACTACATAGCAATTTAAAAGCAAAGACTGATAATGTCCAAGTTCTTTTTAGGTAATTCTACTGCCATTTGCAAGTGTTAGAAATGTATAACGTTTACCTTTTAAAATTGAAAATTGGGTGGTAATTCACCTTGTTATATTTGTGTTAATTTTCCTTCAGTTCCAAGAAAGCTAAGCAGGCAGAGAGGTTTGGCTGTGTTCCTAGGTGTAACTTACCTTCTGCTATGCGTTCTGGAAACCATAAGTGATCAGGAGAATAAATTAGCCAAGTCTACTGAACTTTACAACACTATATAATTTCAATTTTATGTCATTTCCAGATTATTTTTAAATTGAAAGAGCTATAAAATGTTTATCTGGCAGTCATTATTGTCTACTATTTTTAAGCCAATTTGTATCTTTTATTTATTGCAGGACTTATGCCTGTGGCACAACAGCCTGTTTATTCTGCTTCAAAGCATGGAATAATTGGATTCACTCGTTCAGCAGCGGTGAGGATATAACTATTGTGTATATTTCTTTTTGTATACACATCAAAAGCATGGATATGATGGAGAGAATTCAGAATCTAGAATGTTTGGAAAACAAATAGAAAAATAAAATTACACTTATTATCAAAAAATAGCTCTCAGATCACAAAATGAAACAGTTAAAGAATATTATTTTTAAAGGAAATGGATTCTAACCTAGATGTATTTTTGAAAATACGCAAAAGATAAATGGCAACACTACTTTTTTAGAATTGACTCCAGATGTAAACATTAACATCAGGCTTCCTCAAATGAGGCATGCACAAATCTCCAGAGGTTTCCATCTTCACTGGAGAGACAATGAAAAGGAGTGACCTTGAAGGAGAAAGGAGAGGCGGGACCTGTGACTGACTTGGCAGAACTATCAAAGACAATGATGTGTCCAACAGAGGAATAGAAAAATATTGACACAGGATTTCTTGTGGCACCAAAAATAGTAGACATATGAATAGTAACTACTCAATGAAAAAATAAGTCAATAGATATTTAAGTTTATTGAAAATTATTATTTACTTGGAAAGATTTAATCTTTACCCAAACTTTATGAAAATATAAAGCTGTTACAGAACAAAGAAAAACATAAAGATCAGACTTTTTTTTACCTAATATTATCAGAACTAGGAACTTAAAAAATTATCTCTCATTGTTCATAGTATGTTTTAAGCAACTACTTGCACACAAGTTATCATTGATGACTAATGAAACATTATTTCTAGAAGAAATATAAAATCAAGAGAGAAAACTGTGGCAAGACAGACCTCAGAAGAACCTTGCATACCAATGACTCAAATTTCTTTTTAATGTATATTCACAAATGTGTTTTAAGCAAACAGTCTCTGCTACGTAAAAATTATCTTTCAAATAAAGTGAGTTACAAGTTTCAACCCTCAGTAGCTTAAGTTCAAGATCCGGCAGAATTATATAACTACGAGCAGCTTAGGTAGTTGATTCCAGAGGTCTCCAGTACTATTGCTTTTTTCAAAAGTTAACTAGGTGAAAATTGATTCATCATGTCAGGTGTGTGTTCTATTAGTGTCCTGCTGCTTACCAGTCTTGTTATAAAGTTGGGAGGATACCTGACTAGTGTTTTTTTTTCCACATCAGTGTCTTTTAAGTGGATTTAATTGCCCTGTCCATTTATAAAACTGCTGAAGCATACACTTCTAATTGACAGATGGCTGCTAACCTCATGAACAGTGGTGTGCGGCTGAATGCCATTTGCCCAGCCTTTGTCAACACACCTATCCTGGAATCCATTGAAAAAGAAGAAAACATGGGTCAATATATAGAATATAAGGATCATATCAAGAATATGATGAAATTATATGGAATTTTGGAGTAAGTAAAGCAATATCTTTTTGTTGTTGTTTTTACCTGTTGGAGTTAATGTACTATCTAATTAAATAGTAAAGAACAATAACTAAAATTTGAGAAACTAATGCAAGCTTTTAAGTTTTGAGTTAATGACATCTCTGAAAAATAAATGACAGCTTCTGAATAAAACATGATTACATATTATGAATTTTACTTTGAAATACAGTCTCATTAATCCGTTCAGCCATAATAAAATATTATTTAGAAAATAATAATAGTAAATTAAATTAATTTAGTCATGGAGGTAATGGTACCTTCTCTCTCTATATTCTAAGCAACACTAATTATACATTTGCAAATTGTTGTCTAGTCCCATAATTTCAACCAAATTAATAAATAGAATAAATGAATTCTTTCTCCTTATCAATTCTCTCTCAATTTATCTTTTAATTAATTAATTAATTAATTTTATGGATACCGTTCCAAAAGCTCTGGTATTGCCCCTTCCTCCCCTCTCCTCCCACTAATTTCTCGTATTGTATTACACCAATATAGCCCCTCAAAAATAGTCATAAGTCCATCAGTCTGCTACGTATGTGTATCCTGACATTGTCGGCATGGAGGAAGGCAGAGGGCAGCATCCTATTGTCAAGATATATTTAAAATTTTCATTGGGAGTCCATCTTTTATTGCTCTTCACATCTTGAGGCCAGTATCTGTTACACAGTCCCTCTAGGTGATTTTATGTACATGCCTGTTTACCTATATATTTTTGATATTGTATTTTGCATGAAGGTTGTCTCATATCAGAGAGAATATATGATATTTTTCCTTTGGGGATTGACTTATTTCACTGAGCGTAACGTTCTCTAATTGGGACCATTTGGTTACAAATAGTAGAATTGCATTCTTTTTTAGTGGCTTAGTAGTATTCCGTGAAGTAGATGTACCTCAGTTTCTTTATCCATTCCTCTTTTGATTGGCATCTGGGTTGTTTCCATGCATTTGCTATTGTAGATTGTGCTGCTGCAAATATCGGATTACAGATCAGTTTTCTTCTGTGGATTTCATCTTATCTATCCCCAGAAACCATCAAATTATTAGAAGAAAACACAGGAAGCACTCTACAAGAAATTGCAATTGGGAAATGCTTCTATCTAACTCTCTCTTACACATACACAATTATGTTGAGTTACAGTGGTTGAGACTTTCACAGCACAGAATAATAGCCAGGATAAAACCCTAGTTCTACCACTAACCATGAATTTATACATCAAAACTGTAGGTGTCTCAATCTTATCATGTATAAAATAGGGGTATTACTAAAACAAACTTCAGGACCTCTGAAAAACTTAAATATGATGATGTATTGTGACAACAATAGGTAAATGATAATGCATTCAGTAAATGCTAACTATAATGCATCATATTTCTCCTCTAACATTCCTATTGGGTAAGTCCAACATACACTGATATGGTAAAAATTTTAAAACTATCAGTTTATAAATGTAAAAAATGAATATAAATGCCTCCTATCAAAATAGATGATTAAACATGAAAATATACCACTAAACTTTGCATATATCTAATGGAAAAAACTGAACCTAGTAACAACTTAATAACATACATGTATTTATCACATGTTTAAAGCTGTCGATTCTTCAGAAAATAGCTTAAAATGCAATGCTTCTGTTCTTAATTCTTTAGTTTTTAACTTCTATTGTTTTTTGTTATTTTTAGCCCATCAATGATTGCCAATGGATTAATAACACTCATTGAAGATGATGCTTTAAATGGTGCTATTATGAAGATCACAACATCAAAGGGAATTCATTTTCAAGAATATGATACACTGTTATCTCATTGAACATCTTATATATGAACTGTAACTGAAAATGAGTACAAATGACTGATTCACATCATCATCTTCATCTAATTTTCCTGTTTTTACTGAAATGTTACTTGGATGCCTTCTTTCAGATATATCATGTTAAGTTTTCTGGAGGCTTTCCTTCTTGCATTTGGTGTAAACTATTGTAACAAAAAGAAATGTTATATAAACCAAAACTAGAATGTGAAGACATATGATCTTTGCAGTCTAAATAATGACTAAAACAAAGGCTATCAAAGTAATATTTTCTCTTTCAGAATATGTATTTTAAATCTGTGGATCATAAATACTGTTTTTAACAGTTTTAGCTTAAAAGAAGTTCTTGAATTGCTATTTAAATCAAACCATGTGTAAAAAGCTCAGTGTGTTCACACTATAAAAGAGGAAACTACAATGGTAAATGTATAGTTGTAACAATTCTACTTGTATATTACCTTGAAGCTAAAATTTTCACTTCCTTAAAGGTGTTGCATATTTTAGAGCCAGTACTTGAGAAATAAATATCAGTGCGACTACACCCCAAATAAAGCATCTGGTGTACAGAAAAATTATGAAAAATATCTGAGACCATTGATCTACCATTCTCGCCATTCTGCCTCCCAAGAGATAGGAAATATTTCTTTTCTCTTAACCTAAGAATTTAATTAACTCCCAAAATCTCAGGAATAATAATTTTAACAGTTATAGCTGAAAAAGATATTAATGCTCTCATAACTTTGTATTAAAGTTATGCATTTTAAAAATTTTACAGATTTTTTTTTATTTGTATCAGTTTCAAAAGTGCCTACCTGTCAATAAAATGTTTTCATTCTAATATCCATTAATGACTTAGTATTTTATGTTCAGCTATTGAGGAGGTAAGGCAATTGGCCCTGGCCACAAGTGTAAATGTTTTTTTTAATATATGCTAAAATTCATAGAAACCCCGCGGAAAACTAGCTTCAATGTTTTGCCTTTTTAGCTGCCAGACTTTTTAAGATATGATGATTAAATGCACCTGCTTTGAATAACACTCTCTCAATTAATAACAGTGAAAGCACAAGATTTTCAATCAATTTCTAAAGTAAATATTGTATAAATGACTCATTCTGCCTGCTAATGCCAAACCAACTTACAGCAAAAATTAACCATGTGACACTGATAAGGATTTCCTAGACTCACTGGAATATTTTCCTACATTACTGTTTTTAGTCCTCCATAGGTAACTGTTACTTTCATTTGAATATGAATGATAGGACAGAGTTTCATATAAGGTATTCAACACTGAGAAATGAATGTCAGTGAACAGCTGATTGAGCCCTAGTGCAATCTTGCACAAGCTTATTTGTGTATTCTGGCAGTGACTAATACCAGTGAATGAAGTACGAGTAATGTAGCATTATTATTCTTACATAGTACATCATTGTAATGTAAAACCATGGCTTAACCTTTTTATTTGTGGATAATTTCCTTTACAGCAATTTTCAGAGCTAAAAAAGTATACATAAAAAACTTATTTCTTTTAAAATGTGCCTTCTGTAAATTGCTTGAAGTAAGTTTATAGTGTTTTTGATAGCTCCATGTAACTGAGAAAATAACTAAATCAAGTGAGTGTGTTAAGGAAGCACTTGGCTTCTCTAATTGTATTGTTCAAGGACAAGCTTAATGTGAGTAATATGTATCCTTTTAATGTATCTTATTATAAACGAAGCTTAAATTTTAAGAACAATGAAACAACAAATATTTAGATGCTCAAGAGATCAGAGATTGATAACATTGAACTTCTCAGCAAAATTTTCTCACATAAATCATTTTACATAAAATAAGACTTCCTTAAGGATAAGCACCATGGTATTCTAGCAGTTTGATAACAAAGTGATTAGTAAATGACTAATGGGTGGATAGCATGTACAATGCAGATATGCTGGAGAAATGGATGATTCCTGTACTGAACAAGCTTGGGCAACAAAGTATGAGACTCCATCTTGTTACTCAAAGCAAGTTGAAATGTAAACTTATGGATGTTTTTATTCCTGAAACTTTCCATGCATTACTTACTGCTATAAGATCTGCTTCCCATGTTCATAAAAATACTTAAGCCCCAAAGTTATAAATTAATGTTACTGTGCAGGCAAAATAATCCAATTATGATGTTGGATGTGCACATATGATATTGGAAGTGATTGGATTGACTTTAGTCTTCAGAGAAACTTCATGATTAAATTCTGATGGTTTTGGGGCCTAGCTCATTGCTCAATGGCCAAATCCTCACCTTGCAAACACCAGGATCCCAAACAGGTGCAAGTTTATATCCAGGCTACTCCACTTTCAATCCAGCTCCCTGGATATGGAATTGGAACAGTAGAGGATGGCCCAAAGCCTTGGGACCCAATGCCCATGTGGGAGACCTGGAAGAAGCTCATGGCTCCTGGCTTCTGATCACTCTAATTATCCATTGTACTTATTTGGAGAGTGAACCAGTAGATGAAAGGGCTCTCTCTGTCTCTCTTTCTTTCTGCTTTTTCAACAAAAATGCTAAATAAATCTTTAAAATTTCTGATGGCTTTATAGGCGTCCTTCATAAGCAGCTTTCTCCAAGTATTTTATAAGAGTGATAAAAAAAATTCCTTGATAAAACCATGGGTATCTAAAACCATGAAAAATAAAACCTGATATTAGAGATCATTAGTGTATTACAGAAGACAAATCCTCAAATAACAGGGATATGACAAATTAGAAATTTATCTCTTTAGCATAAACAATCTCTCACAGACATAAAGAGACTCTGCCACAGGTGATTTATTGAAACAGTAAGATTCCTTCCAGGTTTATACTATCAGCATCATTCAGAGTCTCAGATTTTATGAGAAGATGGATAATGTGTATATGTGTCTTAATCAGTTCACAGGATTATAATATCATTTGTAAGTTAACTCAGATGGTCTTCTCTAGATTCAAGGACAGAACATATGTGCTAGGAATTGCAATTTCTTTCTATGCAGTCATTTCTCTGCAACAATTCTACACTTTGTAATGTGGTATGCATTTTTCATGGAGAGCTAACTAAGCCTGCCATATCCATTTATATTTTCAAGTTTAAATATAACATATAAACTGATCATCACAAACGGGCTGGCATTGTAGAATAGCAAATAAAGCCATCATCTGTAATGCTAGCATTCCTTATGGAGACTAGTTCTCTGTCCTAGCTGACCCACGTTACAATCCAGTTCCCTGAAAATGACTGGGAAAAAACAGCAGGGGATAACCCAAACATTTAGACCCCTGTCAACCATATGGCAGATACAGAAATGGCTTCAAGCCCTGACTGATACGGCCATATGGGGAGTGAACAGTGGATGGGTTCCTCTGTCCTTCCTCCTTTTCTGTAAATCTGATTCCCAAATAAGTAAATAAATCTTAATAAAAAAATCACTACAAAGTGTAATTCAATAAATTTTAGATTTTATTATTATTTTTTTTTTACAAAAATGCCGTTCTGGTCATTTACAACAGCCGTACTTGAAAGCCAATAATTCAACGTGGAGCTCTGTCTTGGGTGGCAGCATTCCAGCCATTGAGCCACCAGTGTATTCTAGCTGATACTATTGGGAAGCTAGGATCATGCTCTACAGTCAGATATAGAAAACAAAAGAATATGATGTCCTAACCGGCATCTTAACCAACCAGATAAGCTCCTGCCCTCAAAATGTACCTTTTTGTCATATTTTCATATTTTGTCATATTAAAATTATTCAATAAGAAACAAATACCACATCTATTATATATCTTATAATTTAGTTTACAATTTAACAAATGCTTCCTTTAACAGTATCAGAAATTTTGTATCCTTTTAGTTCATCCTTAATTTATATTTAATTCTGCTATAGAACTTGATGCTAAAGAATTCTTTTTCTGAAAATTATTGTAGGATCATAACTCACTGCACTAGCACATTTTTAAATTTTGTTTGTCATATCAGGTCTAAATGGTAAATAATTTCCCTTGCATTTGATACAGTTAAAATTATTAGTATCTAATAGACCAAAACAAATATCTTATTCCCATTTACATAGCTATTATATAAAAGAAATTAAAAGAATAACAAATTTAGTCTTACCCAAAAGGAGCTTTAGCCAATATGGTTCATGTACTCAAGTATAACTTTTATTTATTCATCAAATAAGGATCATTATCATCCTATTTCTATTACAGTAGTACATTTTAAGAAATGTTATTTATATCTACATCAAAAAAGCAGCAGCATCATATTTAATGAGAAAAAATGTTTAAAAATATAGTTCTGGGGGAAAAATATCAAGGACACTCACTAGGTTTGCCTTCCTTCCCAGATGTTTCGAAGAATGGAACTTGCATTATTTTTAACATATTGTTTACCCAATACTATGTCAATTAATTCCATAATGTTGTATATTGATACTGAGGTCTTGTTGGGGCTTTTAACTGACCGGATCTTTACTCTGTTAGCCCTACCTTCAGACCAGAGAAGGTCTCCCCAAGAGGCCACTGAACTTATCTGGACAATAAGACGCTGAACTTTATGCTAGGCATGTGTTTGCAAGGAATGAATCTCAACTGAACTTGAACTATGGTTATGCAACAAGGTGGAGGAATCCACCATGGGGGGAGAGGTATGGGAGGGGTGGGGGGAATCCCCAGCACCTATAAAATTGTACCACATAATACAATGTAAGCAACAATAAAAAAAAAATGGGGCTATGCAAAAAAAAAAAAACTGTACTGAATAGATTATGTAGTAATGTCAACCCATGAATGAAAATGGCAAGACAAGAACTGGAAAACAAAATAACAAAGCCATCAATATGTGAAACAGGTGAGATTTTCAACGTAGAGAAGCCCAAAAAAGAAAAAAAAAATCAGTAAATTATAAAAGTAAACAAAAATTTTAACAAGTATGGTAAACTGTCAACCAAAAATAATTAAAAAAAAAAAAGATTGCTATAACTGTTTGAAGCTTCTCCCAATCAGAAGTTCAATTTATTTCCTTGATAATGGGCTGGCCTTGTGGCTTCCTTTGTAAAAAACAAAAAAAAAAAAAAAAAGAAAAAAAAAAGTTGCCCAGTTGATATTCAGTTTCTGAGGAGATCTTTGCATGAATCTGCTTTTTGCATGGAATCTTGGCACTTCTTGAATAAACTGAAGTGCCAGCTTGCTGGTAGATAAGAGACCCCAGAAAAGATTATCAACATTCCTTTCAAACAGACATGCAAAACACCTCTGCCAGCCAGCTCACAGCCCACCCAATATCCAACAACAGATGCATAAATGAACTCCATCCAAGATTAACTAAGCCTGACTCAGAGAAACAGATCTGCCTAGCTGAGCTTAGCCCAACTCATTAACTCAGAGAACCAGGAGATAAATAAATGATTGTTTTAATCCACTGGAGTATAGATGGCTTGTTGTATAGCAAATTCTAACTGACATAGCCACTGAACACAAAGGCAGTAAAGAAAAGTTGCTAAAATCTTAAAACAGAAAAAAAAAAGGAATATAGAATACTCATTCACACAAAATTACCAAGCAGCTTTTGACTCTTGATAATCTCCTTCCACAAAGAAAGACTAAGGGAAGAAATTAATAATAATAATATAATAAAGAAAACCACAAAGCTTGACTGAATGCCAAATAAAAAAGAGAAAATTTGGTTTATTGGCATAGATGAATTACAAAGGCAAACAGAATCTGAAGGAGCAAGAGATCAAGAGAGAAACTCAGATAAATGAAGCTGGCACATTTTTATTTTTCTTTCAGCAAATTGGCCAGTTTTTTGAAATATATAGATGCTGAGAACAGCAAAGCACAATATGAAGTAGAATAAAAATCAAAGTGGTACAGAACTAGGGAAAACTAAGATATACAAAATATGAAGGAAGTACAGGAAAAAAAAAAAAAAACCTCAAAGATCTGAGCTAGTTTCATTGTAAACCAGACAACAATCCATAATCAGCTTGGTTTGGGAAACAGGCAAACCAAATGCAATTGACAAGCTAAGCAGAACTATTAGTCTTAATGTGGGAGAAGGTAAACAGTCAATTCCCATTATAGTTGAAAGGTAATAGATACAAACCCAGGCTTTTATTCGAGGCTCTTCCGAAGTTATACTATTCAAATGTGGGCTCAGACCAATTTCATATTTAATAATTTTAGCTCACACACTATTTATTCTGCCTTCAATAAACTGATGGAAGCATTCTTTGCAGAAAACTCAGGGTCAGGGCTTCCAAGCTTTTCATACGTGATTTCTAGCGTTCAATTAAAAGTCAATTTACGGACCCTGCGCAATAGCATAGTGGTTAAGGTCCTCGCCTTGCACGCCCAGGATCCCATATGGGCACTGGTTCTGATACCGGTGGCCCCGCTTCCCTTCCAGCTCCCTGCCTGTGGCCTGGGAAAGCAGTCGAGGACGGCCCAAAACCTTGGGACCCGGCACCCGTGTGAGAGACCCAGAGGAGCTCCTGGCTCCTAGCTATGGATTGGCTCAACTCCAGCCGTTCCAGTCACTTGGGGAGTGAACCATGGAAGATCTTCCTCTCTGTCTCTCCTCATTTCTGCATATCTGACTTTCCAATAAAAATAAATAAATCTTTAAAAGTTAATTTATAAAAAGACCCAGAAACAAACTAAAAATCAAAAGGCAGTCCCTAGAGGATGGATATTAGTTTCATCAAAAAAATTCTTTAAAGTAGTTGTGATCAGAGTTGATGTT